ATATATAACTATATATATAAATAAATATATATATATATATATATATATATATATATACATATATATATATATATATACACACACATACTGCTAGATAATCATCAAGTTTCTTATTATCTAGACATATAACTAGATAATTTCAACAACAGATGCACGCACTAGATAGTTTGGGAGCATAAAAGAGAGACCACTAAAGCAGTCTGGGAATCAGGAAAGACTTCCTGAAGGAAATGGTGATGTATCAAATCTTAAAAGATTTGTAAGAATGGCAGAGGTGAAGCACACACATGTATTTTGGGTAAGGACAACACAAATGGGGTTGAAATTCCAGGAAAAGGGAAGAGCAGAAGAAAAAACAACAACCAGTTCAGAACATTGTGAGACTACAGCTACAAATGGTGGCTTTCTGGGACTTAGGTTGTAAGGCAGGGAGTAGAGTGGGCAATGGAGCTGGGAACACAGGCAGAAGCTCAGGGAGGTCCTTTAGCATCCCTGAATTCCTTCTTGTTGGAGAAACCAAGTCCTGTTAATGATACCAGAACTCACGAAAAGATTGAGTCAGAAATGTTTACTTGGGGATAAGTAGTAGAGGTGTAATTAAAAGGTAAACTAGTATTTAGCTAGATTTGAATTTAGAGAATTAAGATTCAATGCCTTTCAGGCCTTGTATCACCTGTGTGAACCCTAGGAAACCTTTGGCTTCTCTGAGTCTCTCCGTCTGCAAAATGGGAATAATTCTTGTCTTGCTTACCAAAGTGTTTTTTCAATGTGGTAAAAAGTGAATTACATAAAATGTACCATGTTAACAATTTATAAGCATACAAATAATTTTTAAATAATAAAATGAGATGTGCATTTTAAAACTTCTCAATGTATATGTGTTATCTTTATAGCAGCTGAGGGAATGGATACAAATCATAGTGAAAAATGAGTGAAAGCAGAAAGGGAAACAGTGTTTACTGAATGTGTATTCCAGAGACTCGTGATCCTGACTGAAGTCTATTCTGATGCCCACACCTATGCTGGGCCCCAGTGCCCCCCTTTACACTCCTCTATGGAGAGGAGGTTGGATAGCCACAAGGAGCTTTTGAAACCTGGTCCTGGGGAATGTATAATTACTGTGTAACACTTTTCTCCTAATTTGTCCCTTAGAGGGGAGAGTGAGATGTTCCATGTTCCTTTAGATACTGCACCATCTAAAGAGAAACTCCCAGGAAAGATAATCTTTCCATTACAAATATTCCCTGAAGAGATTTCAGAGACATCTATATCCCCATTGACAAACCAGAAGAAGAAACAAGGGGCTGCAGAGATTCTGAGGAGTGTTCTCCTTGTCTCAGGCAGGGTAAGTTCTAAAGACAGCTATGGAAAGGGCATCATCTCACCTGCTTTTTACTCTCCCTGTGCCTGCCCAATAGTTTCCTTATATCCTTAACTCCTCACAGGTCAGTTGTTGCTATAGTCTTCCATGGCAAAACCCTATGTTTTTAGAACTTTATTGCACAAGTGAAGTATCAGAATAATGAGGCATACAGTGTGGAAGGAAAATTAGAAAGAACACAGTTCAGCAAGCAAATGAAGATACTGATAACACTAAAATTCTGTTGAAGCCCAAAGAATTATGAATTCCTGGGGAGTCATAGAGCAAGTTACTGCTTTTCTTCTAATTCAAGTCTGATATAATTCAAGTCTCTTTTCATGACACAAGAAATATTCTTCGGCTGAACTCCTTGGGTTCACCCTAGGATTTTTTTTTTTAATGTCCTTTATGTGTTTCAGGAGCAAAAGTATTTGTTCACTTTATATAGCCCTTGAGTCTATGACAGTGATTGGCACATAGCAGAAGGTCGATCAATACATGGGTGTTACTTGAATAAATGTGTGAATGATAAATAATGATGCAGGTTTACTGTGAGAAGGGCCCCAAGCTTAGATCAACAAAGTCATCTTTCTGACTTTTATGAGCCACTTAGCATGGACTTTCTTGCCTTTTCTCATACCTGGTCTCCCTCTGTCTATCCATGTTCCTTGTAATGACTATTCAACATGACTAATCTCTGGTGTTTTAGACTGAGAAAAAACACACACAGAAGGACAGAGAATTGGATGTCTTCATAGGAGAACACCTCCATTCCTCACGCCTTTTCCCTTGTGGGTGCTGCCCTTCTGCTAAGCATTTTTGCTTATCCCCTTCCAAAGCCTGCCTCTCATATCGTTCTTCCTCAGTGCTTGAGTCACAAGGCAGAGAATCCTCTATCAATCATCTGCCTTACTCTGTAATGCATTCGTTTGAATCTGCTCTTGACCTCTTGAAGAAACCATATGAACCCTCTCACCTCATATCCAGGATAATCCTAAATATACAGGAGTAGTTAGAGTAGAAAACAAAATGGCTGATAAACCCTGACCTGTGTACCAGCCCGGGCTACGAAAAGTGGTGGACTTCTAAGACCAATAGACCTGGTTTCCCAATCTAGTCCTTGGTTTTTCTACCTGTGTAACAATAGTGACAATCTTTATATCATAAGTAGAAAAAAAGAGATAATTATTTAAAATAAAATATGTAAAGTGCCCAGTGTAACGGCCATGACATAAGATCTCCTCAGCAACACTACTTAATTTATCCTGTATGCTTCTATTAAAGATCCTTCAGTCTATGTGGGGGAGATAATCTTGATATGCAAATATTTAAAGTGAAAGTAAGGATATTTTAGATCTCATGAAAGAGAGAAAATAAAGCACTCCTCTTAAAAGTCAGAGGAGACAGTGATTACTTTTGGCACCGAAGATCATAGAGACTTCCATGAAAAGGGGAGCATTTGGTGGACATTGGCAGCTAGGATTCCAGTTGGAGAAGATAAAGAAAATGTAAGGAAGGAATAGCATAAGCAAAGGTGGAAATACAGGATTTTTGGTCCTATTTGTCTGAGTTGTTTAGTATGTAGGTATTTGGCTCCAAAACTGGATTGGAACCATATTATAGAAGGCAGTGATTATCAGGCTGAGTCTTTTGGGCTTTCTCCTTGAATGTTTTTGAAAAGAAGATAGACAGTAAATGCCATACTTAGGAGCACTCATCTACAGAATGATGCTTTAGAGGTAAAAGGGCCAGTGGAAAAGATGATAAACTAGTCAAGGTGAGAGGTAATGCACTAACTTTAGCCGTGCAAAAGCTTAGCTGCCCTTTCACCTCAGCAAGTAGATGCTGGTCTGATTTCAACTGCGGCTGATGGAAGTGATGGTTATAATAGGAATATATATATTTTTAAAACTCAGAATAGTTTTATCACTTTGGCTCTTAGATGTGGCCTTCATAGGTGGAATGGGATGTGTGAAGCTGGAGTTACGTGCTTGTCCAGAAATCAGTGGCCATTAGTCAGGTGCAAGATGATTCTAAAGAGACACTTGGTTTGAACAACTATCAATATCAACCACTGATAGAGAAGGAAAAGAAGGGAGGGGGTTACAGAGAAAGTAGAAGATGCAAGGAAAAATATTTTCTCACTTCTGGGTATTTATCGTTTTATGAGAAATAGACATGTTACTATGAAACAAACAGGAAAAAAAAAGCAGGGCTATAAAGGTGAATTTGTTATTCAATCACAGGCTAAATATTAGTTCCGGAAAAGATGAGGAAAGCAACATAAAGAATTATTGGAAGAAAAGCTCCCAATAGTGCTTTTGTATTTTTTTAAAATAACTTTTCTGAAGAACAGGAGAAGAGAATAATTAAAAATGAAGGTATAATTTTCAAGACTAAATAAAAAGGACAGAGAGTGAATAAGAGACTCAGAAATTAAAGGGACCGGACCTCCAGAAAATATTTCCAAAGAGTTAAATTTGTGTATTGCTTTATGCTTTCTTCACATCTATTGAGGATATTCATTTAAAAAAAAAAAAAAAGCCATTTGGGACTCAAAGGCAAATATTCCAGATGTTTCTGGCATGGAGGTACATCTTAAGATATATTACTAACTAACCAGTTTAGGACTCTGAAATAAGCTTAAGTAAATAACTACATAAAGGAATAAAGCAATACTCAGTTGGTAGTTATAATTTCAACTCTAAATATTTCTTTGTCTCCTTTCTTCTGTTCACAGATGACACAGCTGATGATCAGGAAGAATCAGACAATGGTGACTGAGTTCTTCTTTGCCATATTCCCAAAACTACACGAAGGTGGTCTCTCATTCTTTATTCCCTTGCTTCTTATCTATGGATTTATTGTAACTGGAAACCTAATGATATTTATTGTCATCCAGGTGGACATGGCCCTGCACACCCCTATGTATTTCTTTATTAGTGTTCTCTCCTTCCTGGAGATCTGGTATACCACAACCACCATCCCCAAGATGCTTTCCAGCCTAGTCAGTGAGCAAAAGACCATCTCCTTGACTGGTTGCCTTATGCAGATGTACTTCTTCCACTCACTTGGTATCACAGAAGGCTGTGTCCTTACAGCAATGGCTATTGACAGGTACATAGCTATCTGTAATCCTCTCCGTTACCCGACCATAATGACTCCCAAACTTTGCATCCAGCTGACAGCTGGATCCTGTCTTTGTGGCTTCCTTCTTGTGCTTCCTGAGATCACATGGATTGCCACTCTTCCATTCTGTGGCTCGAACCATATTCACCAGATATTCTGTGACTTCACACCTGTGCTGAGCTTGGCCTGCACAGATACATCCCTAGTGGTCATTGTGGATGGCATCCATGCAGTTGAGATCCTGGCTTCCTTCCTGATCATCGCCCTATCCTATATCCGGATCATCATGGTGATTCTGGGGATGCCCTCGGCTGAGGGTCGTTACAAGGCCTTTTCCACCTGTGCTTCCCACCTTGCTGTGTTTTTGCTATTTTTTGGCAGTGTGGCTGTCATGTATTTGCGATTCTCAGTCACCTACTCAGTGTTTTGGGACACAGCAATTGCTGTCACTTTTGTTATCCTTGCTCCCTTTCTCAACCCTATCATCTATAGCCTGAGGAACAAGGACATGAAAGATGCTATTGGAAGACTTTTCCACTATCAGAAGAGGTTTGATGGGGCTGGGAGGTAGAACAAGATCCTGGAGATTCTGAGAAGCCTCTTGGAAGTGTAGACTTTCATTGTTCCTTGTCCATGATTGTGCTCTTTTTCTATTGCTTCAACTATTTGTTCTATCATTTTAAAAAAGTATGATAAACTGTTGTGTCCAGGTCACTAGTGGTAGTTGGATATCCAGTTTACATTAGTGCTTTTGTCATGCTTTTGATAGCTGAAGCAGAATACATGGACTCTCCTGCTTTTAACACAGATTGACATCCTCCTCACAGCTCTCAGCTTTTTTTTGTGATCTGACATGTGAGTGAGGCCAGGAAGCAGGATGGAACAAGCATGAGTGACATCACAGTTAGGAAAACTGCTTCTGTTAAATTTTCTCCAATGCCCTTTCCAGCAATAAATCTCTATGTCACTCAGCATTCCACATAAATAAAGTTTCTTGACATTAGAGAGAAGCCTTCTTCACTTTTAGCTTATTTAATTCTCAAACTCACATACATGATGTGTTATAGCATTTTAGAGCCAAAGAAGTTCCACAAAAATTAATAACAATAATAGTTAATTATACTTCTCTGGCACATTATTATTTAAAACATTTTCACTTATGTAAGTCCTCTTGAAATGGAAGATATTATGAAGTAAATTGATCAGACATTAGCATTATTCAAATGTTAAAACTAAAGCTCAAAGAAGTTTAATGACTTGCCTAAGGTCATGTAGGTAGTCCCCAGATGGTACTGCTCTCACTTCCAGATCTGTCTAAAGGTCTTAATTCAGTCCCAGGAGAAAATTTTTGACCAGTAAATTCAAAACTGTCACTGAATTTAAGTCATAACAAAGGTTATAGAAGCTGGAAGAAGTGGTTCACACCTGTAGTCCCAGCACTTTGGGAGGCAGAGGGGAGAGGATTGCCTGAGCCCAGGGGTTCAAGACAGCCTGGGCAACTTGGCGTGAGTTGGTCTCTATGACAAATGATAATAATAATAATTACCTAGGTGTGGGGTGTGGTGGCTCATACCTGTAGTTCCAGTTACTTGGAAAGCTGACGCAGAAGGATTGCCTGAGTCCAGCAGGTAGAGGCTGTGGTGGCCATGAGCATACCACTGTACTCCAGCCTGGACACAGTGACTTTGAAAAAAAAAAGTTATGGAAAATCTTGTAATACACACATATATAAGGACTGCTATTTACCTAAGTAGAGTGATGATTATACAACTGACATTCCTGTTTTCTTAAAGGTTTGTTCTCTTCACTGGAATGGTTTAAGAAAAACATTGTCTAATTTTGTTTTTTATTTTACACTTTCAAAAGAGACAGGAAACAGAGAGATAGTGTGACTAATTGCCCAATGGCGGGGACCAGCAGGTACAAAAGCAAATTTCTCTGACCATTCTGGGTAAGTTTCATTGCCTAGGAGAAAAAGGGAAGACTAAGAAAGTCTGTTACACCCCACCCCACCCCACAGAAAGAATTGTACTGTTAACCTATCACAGTGTTCTAGCTAAAACACATGTTTAAAACTACACAGAGTTTCCACTTAACATCAAACTTTTAAAATGTAGCATTTCAGCAACAAATCAGCTCAGAGAACTCACCTCAAAAGTGGAAGAACAGAACAACTGCTCATTAGTCTGAAAAGCCAAGCTGCTACTCTCAGCTCCCGACTACCAGGCTTAGGCAGGAACGCAGGAGGGCAGGCAGCAGCTCCCCTGCAGCGCCATTCACAGGGATATCATGTATGGGGATAACAGTAACACAGTTGTCATTGCTGGTAACATAAACCAGGACGTGGAGTAGTTCCTGCCATTGATGTATAGGTAGCAGTTCCAAACACAGCTAATCAAGTAACCCTTAAAAGTCAAGATCGGCCTGGCGCAATAAAATCAAAAAATTAGCAGGGCGTGGTAGCGTGCGCCTGTAGTTCCAGCTACTTGGAAGGCTGAAGCAGAAGGATCGCCAGAGCCCAGCAGGTTGATGCTGGGGTGGCCGTGAGCGTGCCACTGCACTCCAGCCTGGGCGATGGAATGAGACTCCAACTTAAAAAAAAAAAAATCAAGATAATGATAATAAACTGAAGAATAACAAGGACCTAAAAGGTAGGATTAACCGACACAATATCATCTCTGTAGGGAAAATTAGGAGGCAGCTGTTGTACATATTTCTGAATGGTTTGGGGGTAAACAAGCACAGTGATTGTGTCCAAGGTGTTTGGGGCAAAATCATAGATCTGGTAACAGAAGACTGGGACGATCCAGGCTGTGTTGCTTATATGCTCATAAGTAGTCCTTGCACAATATCAGGATCGTGAGAAGAGAAATCTCAGTAGCAATACACGTGTTGGCATCACCATAAACTCAAAGTCACCTCCCAGTTCAGAACTTGAAAAGTGATGCTGATCTTGATGGGCCAGGTCGCTCAATAAAATCAACTGTAACACAGCACTGGTGGTCAGGTACCAGACGCCGAGCAGGATGGTGCCGTGGCTGATGTGACAGCGCAGGCAGCAGCTGCAGGATTGGAACCCGGTCGCAACCATCTTCTTTGCTCCGGCCCCAGGCGCAGCGGCGCCAGCGCGCTCCTAGGTTGCCAGGACCATCCACCGCCTGGCCCGGAGCCGCCGCACGCTGCTGCTGTCTGCTGCCACAGCGAGACCCTGTGCTCCGAAAAGCGAATGTTTTTAAGTGTCTGAACCTAGTCTAATGACCTTACATGTGTTGTCTCATTTATCATCACAATAATTCTATGAATTAAATATTGACCTTCTTTTTTCTTCAAAACAAGAAACGTGAAACACAGAACTGCAATAACTAGTCCAAATAAATGCACAGAGCTAATCGTTAGGAATTCAACCCAGAAAATCAATCATGTCTGGTCCCAGAGCCAGGTTTTATTGACAGAACTTTCATTCTAATCACTAAACCTAAGAAGAGTTCCAAAGGAAATACAGTATTCAAAGAGTAAGTGTGATCACTAATTATTATACATAAAGTGCTGAAAGGGTTTACTCCTCCAATCTGCAGGTTTATGTATTTTTTAAAGTTTCAGCGGCAGCCTTATGTCAGGCACCCTGTTAGGTGAGGATAATTTGCTTAGTGACTATCAGATGAGTCTGATAGTCCTTGGCCTTTAGAAGCCTCAGAGTAGCTTGAACCATTATTGCTACTATTAATAAGAATGTCAGTATCCATTGAGTTCACTGCTGTCCTTCTCATGTAGACTCATTGCTCACAGCTCTCAGGCCATTTTATTTCCTCCAAATCTTCTAATAAAGTTTGTTTTTTTGTGTGTTTCAGACCTCTTTGAATGAGTACTCTTATCTGTCCTCTACTCTCTTTCAACCCAAACATTGATTATTTTTGCAAGGATATTACTTAATCTTTAGGGCTAATGCTCAGAAATAATTGTTTACCAAGATTGCTTCAAATTACTGCGATCTTCAAGAAAGATTCCTAATATCCCTGGTAGGGATGTCAGGCCACTGTTGGCCCTTATTTTGATATGGCATTTTCTTTTGGTTTTTCGTGCTGACAGTTATTTTGTTTGCCTCATGTCTCCCATTAGACTAAATAAGGGTCCACAGAGACCAGGAATAAGGTTTCCTTATCCTTCTGAATTTCAGGCTACCCAAGTTTTGCTCTTGGCTAGTGAACCAACTGATTGACAGGTTGGGAAAGCTAAAAGATGGGTGGTTCAATGCCTGTGAGAGCAAAGAGTATCGATAGAGAGGAAAGGGACTGTCTTTGATGCCAGTGTCAAGCAATGCACATATCAACCTAAGATAGCAGAAGGAGAAGAAATAAAGGACGGAGGATTTGCTGCCCCCGTGAAGGTAGAATTCCAAGGAGCCAGAATAAGATAATACATTTATCCAGATTCTTACTGCTTTATTTCCAGGCACTCATTGATCTCTTCTTAGACCCAATCCCAGTTCAGTATAGAAGCATCTCTTATGAGTATGGTAACTTTTACCTTAGAAGACATCTAATTATTTCTGCACCTAATGAATGAATCTCTCCTCTGTAATAGAAAATGGTAATTCAGCTTCTTATTAGATTAGATTTAAGGCGATCACTAAGTCCAAAAACTTTGAAATCATACTGTGTGAACATGAATCTTGGCATTTGAAAACTGACATAGATGTCAGTGGGCCTCAGTGTTCCCATCTGTAATATTAGAGCTTCCAGGATTGTGAAGATGAAATGCTACTGTGTGTATAAAATGCTGAGCACAGTGCTTATAAGGCTTATAATTACTTGTTATTATCATTGAGATGAAAATTACATCTAGGGCCATCATGCTGCACAAAGCCAGTGGATGCTATTAAATCTTTCATTTTTGCTTTCTGCAATTCTAGTAGCAAAAACTGAGTTCCCCAAATTTCACAAAGTGTGTTACTCAGGGTGAAGAACTGAAATTGTTATGTAACTTTTTGACACAAATAAAATAGTAACTTGCCATTATAGCGGTAGAAAATAGACTCTCATCAAATATGGTGGTTCATGCCTGTAATCCTAGTACTTGGGAGGATGAAATTGGAGGCTCACTTAAGCTCAAGAGTTCGAGGCTGCTGTGAGTTATGCTCATGCCACTGCACTCCAGCCTGGGTAATAAGGCAAGACCTCATCTTTGAAAATGAAAAAAAGAAAAAAGTCCTATTTAGGATGTAGCAATGTTCCCCCATGTTAGAAATTTACTGTCTTTTATAATATATAATTCTTTTTATTTTGAGGACCCAAAATTCTCAGTGGTGTAAACTAAAAAAAAAAAAATTCTAACCCCCCATCAACTGAACAGATCCCCTTGTAACCAAAAAGTTCCCCCAAAGCACATTAAAACTGAGTTCCTGGTCATGATGGGATGGGAGGTCATCATACACCCCTATTTCACAGTTTAGACACAACAACTGACCAGGATTAATATTAAAATTAAAAATCATAAGACTGATAGAACAGACTCTTTGTGGTAATAAGATACCAAATTATAAACAGAACTTAAGGCTATGCCAGGCAAGGTTTAACTCTCACACCCCTACTCTTAAAGAATAAAG